TATGGGTTGTACATTTCATCACTTGGTTTGTGGCATGAAGATGAGTTCCTTCTTCACCTGATTGGTGGCATGAGTGGCAAGTTGTCAAATGATATTAGAGTACGTGTTGTACATTTCATCACCTGGTTGGTGGCATGAAGATGAGTTCCTTATTCACCTGGTTGGTGGCATGAGTGGCAAGTTACCAAATGATATTAGAGTACGGGTTGTACATTTCATCACCTAGTTGGTGGCATGAAGATGAGTTCCTTCTTCACTTGGTTGGTAGCATGAATGGCAAGTTGTCAAATGATATTAGAGTACTGGTTGTACATTTCATCACCTGGTTGGTGGCATAAAGATGCGTTCTTTCTTCACATTTCATCACCTGGTTGGTGAGAATAAAGGTAAGGTGTCGAGGTACATTGTAGCAAGTGTCGAAGACACAAAGTATGTTGAACCTTTTCGAAGCATAGTTGGCTTATGTATGGATGTGTTGGAATGTATGATGCTTATGTATGAATGTGTTGGAATGTATGATGTTTATATATGAATGTGTTGGAATGTATAATGTTTATGTTGATTGATATGAGTGATGCTTATGAATGTTTTACTATGCATGAAGGGATCCATGCTTTTGATATATGAACCATGTTGGGTGTAACACTTAGTATCACATACTTTGTGTCAAAGTACGCATGTTGAAGCTTTGAGTTAGAGTATAAGGGTAGGTCAGCGTAGCCCAAGTGTTCCAGTGCTATGAACGCAAAAGACTCAGAAGAAGTTATCTGAATTCCCACTTCTTTAAATATTTGTCGAATGGCTTGTGTATGTCTTCTTATAATAGCATTTCCTTTAGTACCTAATCCCCCACTTTGAAAGAGTAAGGCTTGGCCCCATAGTCATAATAGTCGACCATATGTTTACCCTAGTTGTCTTGATACGAACTTTTATCCCTCTTGTTGTAATGGGCTTGCTGAGAGTAAAAATCCTTCCTCTTACCAAGAGACAGATACGTTTGGTGACTTAGCGAATAGCTAAATGAGGCAGGAGATGATACAATGGGTGTCTGAATGGCCAATATCTCCTCACTTGGTAAAACTTGACTTCCACTTCCCATTTGTTGATAAGGGTTAACCATATGGGGGTTCCATTGGTATGTCCTTGCTTCGACGGATGCGTGGTTGTAAGTCTGTGCCATCACCTCAGAGTAAGTCTTCCAAGTGTTAGCATTGATCATGTACTTGAAGAAACAATCATGTAGGCCTGCCGTGAAGGCCTTGAGGGCGGTCTTGTCATATGCCTCAATGCAGCGAGAATACTCATGGCTGAAGCGACCGGCATACTCTCGTAGTGACTCGTCTGGCTTCTGGTGAATAGTGTACAAGTTATCTGCAGAATGCAAGTGATCGGTCTGTAAGATGTGTAGAGAAACAAACAGTTTCCTCAATTCCTCAAATGAGTCTACTGTCTCAGGTGGAAGATGACAATACCAGTTTAAAGCTCCGCCAGAGAGGATGGAGGGGAAGAAAAGACATCGCTCTTCGTCGGTGTGCATCTGATATACCATGGTGGACTCAAAGAGGTTAAGGTGTTCAATTGGGTCCTCCATTCCAGTATAGAGTTGTAAACCAAGCTTTTGTTTTGTCTTCGCTTAAAGGGAGGTGTCGATTATCCTTCTTGTGAGAGGGGTCAGGCCTGGGTTAGTTCCAGTCAGGTATCTCGGCCTGACGTTCGGCCTTCAACTTGTTTACTTCCTCAATGAGCTGTAGGACAAGGGGGTCATGAGTAGAGTTATGTACCACTGGAATTTTCTTTCGTCAGTCTTCATCGCCTCTTGGAAGTAGCAAAGTTTGAGTATGGGCGTGTGGTTTTTTCTTGGACTCGCCATACTGACTTCTAGGGCGAGTTTGTCGGAATACCTCAGAGTCCCCCGTACCTTCATATTCCTCTAGGACCTGTTGTTCCTTCCCTAAATTGGCAGCTGGCCTGGGTTGTGGGAGGGGACCGAGTCTTTCAGAAACCCTTGAGTCATTGATCTTCGAGCATATGTGGAGGGCATTCTCTCGACGTTGCTTTAGGAAGTCTTGGTAGTCACGATAAACGACTTTCGATCATTCCAACCCTTCTGCAAGGATGTGTCTTCCTCCAGTTCTTCTACTTCGGGTCAAAGCATCTGGGTTGAGAGAAGTCTCATGTTGATCAATGTTTTGATGATTAGCTCGCTCCTCATCAGGGATACCCATGTCGAAGGGTGGTGACCCTTCGTGTTGGAGGGCACCCAGATGATGGTTGATGTCCATAGGGGTAACAAACTAGCGTGTTTGAGTACGCCTAGTTTCGTGGAGCATCTCAAAGAGCTTCTCATACTGCTCATGGAGGACCTCATTCTTTATTGTTATCTTGTTGTTCTGAGCTTCTAGCTCATCGACTTTAGCTTGAAGAGCAACCCTCTTTCATTCCTTCTTTCGTTGTTTCGCACTAAGTGCAAGATGGGTGTCATTCTGTGTGTTGTGGCTTCCTTCGCTCCCCATGTTGGAAAGGGAAGCCTGGTCAAAAGAGAGTGTACGAATGGTGGAAACCAGTTTGACAAAGCTGAAGAGAGTGGGAATAAGTGTCGTTCCCACAGACGACACCAAATGTTGATGCACAAAATCAGCGAGGACTTTGGTACCACAATAAGTGTTAAGTTTGTGACCTTCGCTAGATTGCTCCGGTCACTAGTGTGGATAAGTAAGTAAATGGATAGAGATAGGGAAGCAAACACAAGATGTACGTGGTTCACCCAGATTGGTTACGTCCACATAGTAGATGAGTTCTCATTAATTGTGAAGAGTTTACACAAGTACATAGGTTCAAACTCTCCTTTAGTGAGTACTAGTGAATGATTTAGTACTAATGACATTAGGAAATATTGTGAGAGAATGATCTCTATTTATAGAAGAGAGTTTCTAGTTTCATTCTGACATTAACACGTGTCGTGTTGTGATTGGCTTATGATGTTGACACGTGTCGCGCTATGATTGGCTTCTGATGTCGACACGTGTCACGCTGTGATTGGCCTCCTGGTTTGAGGTTGGGTCCTTGACGGTATGACGTTGATTGGTGCTCAGTAGTTTCGGGATTGGTCGAGTATGGTACAAACAACTTCCTTTCGGAGAAAAAAAGACGAAAAATTTTATTTGAACCCATATAGGTTCTTTATACATCTAACTAACTTTCTAAACCAACATTACTTTTAATTAAATTTTCAATATCTCTTTAAACCCAACTTACTACCTAAACTACCATCACAAACCAAATTCAATATATAAATTTATCTTTACAACCATTTAAAAAATAAAGACCCAAAATCAACATTCTACAACTCATTCTATGCGGTAGATGTTACTCAATCTTTTATGAAAAATAGCATCCGTTCAATGCCAGCCATGGCATGCACTTGAAGTGTTCATTTTTTACCTGATCACAACCGAAAAGAGACAAAGATTGTCTTAAACTTTTTGCCTTCCACTCTAAGCATTTCATAAAGTCATGTTCTTGCAATGCTGAGGGGTAATTGCAAGGCCTACACCAATTTGCAGAGAAGTAGAGGCACAGTTTCTTCCCATTAAATGATGATAAGGGTACCTAATAATTTCATAATCAAAACAAGATTATGTTTTAATTATCATAATCAAGATAAAAAAATAAACTCTAAATTTGAAGGCATATTTTTCCATGCTATGAACCTACTTGAACCTCACGTTTCTATATTTTAATGAAATCAAAATATTTTCGACATCCAAACAACCGAATTAAATTATGAAAACCAATATTGATTGAAACAAGAGAAAGAAGGGGACGATTTTGGAGACTACATACATTTGTTTCACCGGATAGAAGCATCTCAACAACTTTAAATTCAAGAACAATAGCTATAGTGCTGCTATGCATTGCCATCAAAACTACAAGCAAAGTATAGCCTCCACCCTTCACAAATGAAAGGAGAATAAAGCGTGACATTCGCACAAGTTGCTAGACTTTAAAATTTTAAACGTATGTATATGTTTCTGCTAGTAATTATGCTTTAGAAAATGTGCTGATTTTGTTCCTAAATCCTAATAAAAATTGAAATCAAACGAGGAAAAAAAAAAACTTGCAAAAATTGATTCATACTTTAGTTGGAGGATTCAAAACTTCTAAATCACCATCCATCGTTCAAAAAGAGATTGTTTTTCTCTAGGAAAGCGTCTTAGGTTTTAGTTGGAATGAACGTAGGATAAAGATTCCATGATGGTAGGATTTGATTTTTAGATGTGGGTTTATTGATACATTTTAGTTTATTGTTAATTTTATTTTGTAGTTAGTAGTAATTATACAGTAGAATAAAAATAACAATTCACATTCAAAATTTAAGTTGGATGTAGAAAAAAGTTTAATGAGTTCAAATAAAATTTCCCTAAAATAACTCGTAGAGTAATTCATTTTTTTTCTGACAGCCACAATGTGATTCGCTTGATAAAAAATTGGTTTCAAATTCATCCTAAATCACTATGAATTATTTTTAGGGAACTTTAACGAAAAGCTTATGGTACTGTTCACTTTAATGAAAAACCACATTTTTACACTAAAAAGTCAATTATGGTACTATTCACTTTACCCTTTATTTTGTCCTTATCGTTAAAACTCAAAGTTCTCAAACCCTTTTCATTAGTTTTCCTTTATTTTTAATGTAGTAAAATACGACCTGTTCCACTATATGTTTTAATATAAATAATTTTTATTTATGTGTATTATCCATTCTTCATCACCGAAACACAAATACCCCCACCATGCATACTTTATTATGATTACTATGTCATGCACGCTTTCAAATTAATAAAAAAATATCGAGGATTAAGGATTGTAAGGAATCTCTTCAGGTTTAATTCGAGTCTAATCAGGTTTCACACATAAATCGCGTCATTTAGTATTAAATCCCCTTAATTCCCTCCAAACAAAAAATTAATAAAATAAATTATTAAGAAAATAAAATAAATTAACGCTTTTGGGTTGTCATCAATCTCATCTCCGCCGTTTCTTCTTCTTCTTCTTCCACCGAATCTCACTCTCCATTTTACTAAAAATCCCACCAGTCACTGTCTCTCTGTCCTCTTTCCTCTCTCTTTCTCTCTCTAAACGAAAACCATTCACCATGCTCTCCCCAACGCCTTTATCTCTCATCTGCGCCGTTCTTCTGTGTCTCCCTCTCACCGTAATCTTCACCATCAACAGCCCAACGGCCACAAAAACCACCGCCACCATTTCCCCCTCCCAAATCACAAAACCCTCCAAACCCCTAACAGACTTTAACCCAATTTCACCGCCAAAGTCCCTCCCTTTAGATGAAGACGCTCTCTTCCGCCTCGCCGCTCGGGTCAACTCGCGCCCCCCACGATCCGCCCGCCCCAAAATCGCCTTCCTCTTCCTCACCACCACCCCTCTCCCCTTCTCCCCTCTCTGGGAGCTCTTCTTCAACAAAATCCCCAAAACCCATTTCTCCATTTACGTCCACGCCGACCCGCGATTCCCCTACGACCCGCCGTTCTCCGGCGTGTTCGCGCACCGCGTTATCCCCTCCAAACCTGCCCAGCGGTTCACCTCCACGCTCATTTCGGCCGCGCGCCGCTTGCTCTCCCACGCGCTTCTCGGCGACAAAACGAACGCCATGTTTGCGCTCATTTCTCCCTCGTGCATCCCCCTCCACTCCTTCAACTTCACGTACCGGACGCTCGCCCGATCGAAGAAGAGTTTCATCGAGGTTCTGGATAACGAGATCGGGGCGTACGATAGATGGGCAGCGCGTGGGGCGGACGCGATGTTGCCGCAGGTGAAGCTGGAGGAGTTTCGGATCGGGTCCCAGTTTTGGATTCTGAAGCGGAAGCACGCGAGGATGGTGGTGGGCGACCACCGGCTTTGGTCCAAGTTCAAGCTACCGTGCGAGCGTTGGTACACGTGTTACCCCGAGGAAAATTACTTTCCTACCCTCCTCAACATGCGAGACCCCGGCGGGCTAGTGCCTGCCACGCTGACGCACGTGGACTGGCGGGGGAGGTTCGACGGCCACCCCCGCACGTACAACGCCTCCGAGGTGGGGCCCGAGTTGATACAATCGCTGAGGAACGACAGGCCGAGGTACGGCGACGAGGAGGAGAGCTGGAACGACACTGTTTTGACGGTGAGGGAACGGCGGGACCCGTTTCTGTTCGCGAGGAAGTTCCCGCCGGATGCGATCGGGTCGTTGATGAGTATGGCCAGTGACGTCATCTTCAAAGATTAGGATGAATGTCATCCGTTGTGATATTTTCCTTTTTTTTTTTTTTTTTGTAATTTACAGATAAATTATTAAGAAAACGAAATCGGGACAAACCCGGTGGGTTGTTTGAGGAGTAATTCTATATAATTTTCCTTTTTAAGTATTTTTATAATTTATTTTGGGTTGTTTTAAAGGAAAATTAAGTATTTAGAAATTTTGAATTTTAACGATAATAATAAAATTAAAGATAAAGTAAATAGTACTAGATATAATTTTTTAATATAAAAATATAATTTTTTATTAAAATAAACAGTGACATTCGTTAAAACTTTTCTGTTTTAATTGATTTTTTCAAAGTGAAATAATGTGTTTCGTGAAATCAAAGGGATACCTTCACCTTTTTTTTTAGCTTTTTAAACTTTATAGATTCCTTACAAGCATCTTCAGTGAGTTTTGTTTGGCATGGTGGATAAACAATCAAGGTATTGCCCTTTAAGTCCCAAAATATCCTTTGTCCTTTAGTGAAATTACTCAAATTTTGGCTCGGTTTTGCTTTCGTGAATCGTGACAAGATAAGTGACATACACTACTTTGTTGCAACATGCCACGTGTGTGTGTGACAGAACGAGGAGATTTAGAATGTGTTTGAACGCCCCATTCTGCCAGCCACGCTGTCGGATAATTCTTGGCCAACTTTTTCGATTGTGCATGCGTGCCATTTGCTATAGGATATGACCAAAACGGAAAGTTAGGCATGCCAAATTTATTGCATAACAGTTATCGGATCAATATATAAGAACTTATTAAGATAATGCATTTCACACAACATAATTTAATAAATTAATAAATAACGTGTTTGACACAATACAATTCAATAAAATAATTGACAGGATATTATAAACATGGAAAAGAATCCGAAAATGATTATTTTTTGATAAACACGATTCATTTGATAGCCCAATAAAAAGCGATGTGTCACGTTGTCAGCTAGAAAATGAATTGGGGTAGTTAGGGACAGGTAGCTAGTAAATTAAGCGGGGAATTACCTGGATTTACTAAAGGGTGGGATTTTCTACCAAAAGTGTCTAACAATTAATTGGCTGTTCAGAAGAATAATCAACTTTTAATTAAATATTTGGCTAAGGTAAGGAATTGTCAATTGTGGGATCCTCCTCGTACACTCACAAATGCGATTGTTGTAAAAATGTAAATGCAATTTGCAGCAGAAAACACCTGTTGAATTTTGAATGCTATATAGCGGCATTGATTGCTTCGTTGCTAACACACGCTTTCGCGAGTGAGAAAAATTCTTTTTTAATCACAACGCGTTATGCGCGATTAACAATTTTTCAGTACACTAATCTAATGGGGTAATTCATATTTGAGAAAAAAAAATGCATTGTGTCAATATATTTATACAAAACGTGGAAACACTCAAATTTTTAATATTGACGAAGAAGAGAACATTCCATCAACAAACCCATAAATTAGATTATGAAATATCCACCTGCCATATTTGCCAATTTTTTTGCTTAACTTTATTGAATTAATTAAAATTTCCACAATTTAGATGACCAAATACTTTGAATGTGGATGATTTTTAACAAATGATCTTCAAATGATGACTCAGCAATTTTAATCGTTGAAATGCATTATAGAATAGCTTTATTGCCTTAGGAATTATGTCATTACTGTAAGAAAGTTAAACACAATCTTAACTTAAGAACACTTCATAAACTATACCCACATTTGTTTTCAATAGATTTACAAAGACGAGACCCAATATAACAAACTAAAGCTCAAAGACGAGACAATCCTGCTCATTCAAAAACACCTTTTAAATTTGACATCTTATTTAGGATCTACAACTCATTCTCTTTTTATACAAACGATAATAAAAATATGAAAATTACATACAGAAAATCTAAGAAGATAGATACTCTTAATCATTTGATGGGTCAACCCCACAGTCAGCGTGGGACCACAAACAAAATGATAGCAATTCCAGTATGTAGCATAAGCTGCTTTCATAAGTGCTGAAGATACAGAAATGTTACGAGCCTATATACACTAGTACATTGATGTTCGTTTTGTCACCTTTTTTCTTCTTCTTTTTTTTTTTTCTTGTGAGGGAAATTAATTTGAATACAAGTCTCGGGCTTCGATTTGATGCTTCATATTTGTGCCAGCGGCCCTCCATTCAATGTTGAATAATCATCACTTTTGACTATCTAACCAAGGAAGTTTAGCCCAACCCAACAATGCATAAATGGAAACCTTTTCGTATATTGGGCTTTGTGATTAGACCCAAATCTAACCCCCAATGTGTCCTCTTTCTTTCTATTGGGGATAAGGAGTGTCCAATTTATTTATTTATCTATTTTACAAGAGATGTTACTACTCTAAGCTAGACAAAAGGGATGGGGAGGATTTGAACCCGAGGTGGATTGAAGAGAATGCCCTATTCACCGGGGCAATCCACCATTTGCAAAAAGTGTCCAATTTATTAATTGGTTGAATCACAAAGATTTGCCTTTATCTCATCTCATGCATACAGTCAAGAAGAATGATGTAGAGGGCCTTTAACTGAAGTAGTTAAGAGCAGTATTGATGTACTTGATGTTCTAGGTTCAATATCTCCCTCTTCCAATGTGGCTTGTATAAAAAAGGACACAAATGCTAGAAACAATCGCCTAGGCATGCATAGGTTGTTAGAATATGAGCATAAGTGAGGGTGTATTTTGGCTCAATGTTTGAGTCCAAATTGGTTTATAAAAATCTTATTGAAAAATGTTTGGACGTCCTAGATTTATATGGCTGAAACTGAGAATTGATTCTAAATTACTCACTTGTATTAAAATTTGAAGACAATGTTGGTTTCGTAATTTGATTCTAATAGGAGAATCATAGGGATTATTTGTCTATAAAAGGTGGCATATGCTCTCAGAGAATTGATCACTCATTAGTGAACTAAAATTATGGTTAGTTAAGCACTTAGAATCTGGCAGAGAGTAAAAAGTCAACTTTGAAGATGATGGCTCTATAGCTTCTTCATCAGCTTTTATGGGTCCGATTTTACCCAGCCAACCCTAAGCACGAGAAATTGGCCATGTAACCACATGTATATATCTTCTTTAGCGCAGGTCAACAAGGCCTTTTTGTGCTTGGGCATTTGGGTTGAATTGCCATCAACGCAACAAATTCAACTCCACCGAACCAAAAAGTGGAAGGCTGTTGGGCCAAGAGCAGCAACCCGTTGGGTTGCCAGACAAAAACTGCCGAGCCCTGTGCCTGGTGGCAGTATGACGTCACGCAGCAGAAGGCCGAACCCCACCCCACTGGCACCCACCTGAGCCACCCTCTCGCTTTCCTAGGCTGACAATCGTTTCATTTTCAGCCAGGATTAATCTAGAAGTAAAAAGTCTTAAAAATCCAAAAAATAATCAAATAAAATTCCTAAAAATACCCAACCAACTTTTTCATTCTGCACAATACAATCCAATATTAGTTTTAGGGCGCGTTTACGTAAGGATAATGAGAATCAAGAAATGGAATTGAATTCCGATTACGGCTTACACCGGTGTTTACTAACGTGAGAGGAATAAAAAATCGTGTGGGACCCAGTTGAATTCCGGAATCACAGTCCGGAATTTCCCGGAGTCGGATTCTCTAGCAACAAGTGGTAATTGAATTCCTTGTATTGCTGTCCTCCAGGAATCAAACTTTTGTTCCTAAATTACCCTCTCAATTCGTCTTCTGCAAATCCACCCAAATTGGGAGGTCGCATGGGTGGTGGGCGGACATGTGAACATGGGAGGCAGTGGGAGGATCTGTGAATATGGGAGGTTGTGGGGGCTGGGGAAGAAGAGGATATGGAGGATTGGGGAGCGTGGAGGACCTGTGAGTATGATGGGTGGTGGGAAGGGCTGTGCGGGCTGGGAAAGAAGAAGGCAGCAAGGATGAAACGAAGAGGTGTGGGAGACTGGGGGTGCTCTAGAAGTCGAAGAAAAGATGGGGATGAGAGGAAACGGAGAGGCATGGGAGATCGACTAGGGGTGCTCTGGAAGAATGTGAAGAAAAGATGGGGATGAGAGGAAACGGAGAGGCATATGAGGTCGCCTGGGGGTGTTCTGGAATAAGGTGCAGGAAAGATGGGGATAAGAGGATGGGAGGAAGAAAAGTCAAGTTTGTAAAGATAAATTTAATTTTATATAAATAAACTTAATTTTCAATAATTATAGCATAAAAATCATTTATTTTCAACAATGACAATTTAGTATTTACATTACTTGGAACAAGGGCATTTTAGTAATCGTACTGGTTTATATTCCGATTCTGCTGAATTAGTAAACAGCTTTATGAAATTCTATTCCGATTCCAGACAGTTTTAGTAAACAACTTCAACAGGAATCCAATTCTGATTCCGCCTCATTTCATTTCCTCCTTAATCCAATTCCTCCTCAATTCAATTCCTCCCAATTTGATTACAGATTAGTAAACGCGCCATTAATACAATCTCCTATATTGGTTTTCTGCTTCCCATATCCATTTGTTAGCGCATAAAAAAAAAAAAAAAAGGTTAGAAATCAAATTGGTTGATTGGGAAAGACATTACTTTACTTCAGGCTTGGGTGCTTGTTACTCGTGACCTTGTCACATGACATGAGATGAGGGTGCAACATGTGGGAAAAAATTTATGCACAATTGGTCAACCAAACTCACAATTGAGAAATATGAGAAAATCAAAAGATTGGATAAGGACACGTAGCCTACATAAATGGTCGAGAATCTTAACAAAAATTTGAGCATATATTATTATGGATAATGACACGTAGCGCGACGATAATAGTTGTAAATCTCATTGAAAATATAAAGCAATAATGACACGTGAATGATAAGGTAAAAAATATATAAAATAAAATAAAATTGTTAATAATAATCACCCTTACCTTCGTCTTAAACGGGTGGACATGCATATATGTTGGTGGATCCTACATCTGTTCAAGAGATGATATAAATAATAATAGAAATAAATGATAAGTGTAGCACTACTTAAAAAAAAAAATTGATCTACTTTTCATCTACCATAAGAGCAAATACGAATTTCACTTTATTTTGAATAAAAGCTCAATAAATTTCTTGTGTTGTTATTTTCTCTGTTTA